TTATGTTAATTATTGTTATATCTTATTATTCATATTATATAAGACAGTTACAATATATATATATATATAATTTTTTTGTTTTTGTTTTGTGAAATGTGTCTCAAAAAAGTTGTGTGAGATTCACCCAGATATCCATCATTTTAAGTTATCCTGCAGCTTACCGGTATGACCTCCTCCACTGCAAACACAGATTCATATGAATAATTCATTTGAATTGGTTCTTCTTAATGATTCAGGTAAACCAAAGTTCACTAAACATTTTACTACAACATATAAAATGCCAACCACAGATTTCTTGAAGAATGTTTGATGACTTTCTGAAGATTCACAAGTTGCACTTTAAATATGACCTCTGCTTTACCTTGACCTTTGACCCCGTACGGTCTTGTGTTTGTGTCAGTCTATGCAAGTGAAGCTTCAGCCTCCATCTGGTACAGAGATCGCGCCCTTTAACCCCGTCCTGCCCCCCGAAGGTGAGCGGTCACACACACATCTTACACTTTTCTCTTTTTTATAACAAATTTTTTTTTTAAATCTAATAAAACTTAACAAAAAAATTCAATCAAATATTTTAAGTGTTTATTTGTTATTAAAAATAAGGGATAATAGGTCATTTAAAAATGAAATAAAATATCCTTGAACATAAAATTATTATTATTTAACTATTTTCTTTTATTTTAATTTCTTATAATGTTGTTATATTTGTTTTTATTGAAAATAAGGGTGAATAAATACTTTTTTAAAAAGCAAAAAGTATTGTTTATACAGCTGTTGTTGTTGAATAAATAATTAAAGAAATATAAAAACATTTAAAAATAAAAAATATTTTTGAAAAGTATTCTTATCTTAATATTTATTTGAAAAACATGTTATTGTTATCATTAAAAAAGGATGAATAATTACATTTTCAAAAATGTATTTAATAATATATAAACTAATAAAATATCTTTTAAAAAATCTATTAGCAATATTTTTTTGCTGTTGTTAATAAATATAGGGAATAATCAAATCAGCCTCATGGTTTATAAGGTTTATAAAAGCAATAAGCCTCGTGAAGCCATGGTTTACAGTGAATTTATAACAGCTAAGGGGCGTTGTTAGGCACGGAGTAACCCCCCTTAGCTGTTATAAATTCACTGTAAACCACGGCTTCACGGGGCTTATTGCTTTTATAAAACGGTTATTCCATATACGTAGTAAGGTTTCACAAAATAAAACAGAGCAAATAAAGTGTAATGATATTAATAAAAACAGTATTCTTCCACCAAACAATGTAGCTCCTCAGAATCAGTTGTGGTTGCAACAAAGTGGTTGCCAAGCAACAGACGAACGTAAACAAAGGTGTGTGTTTGTAGAGTAATTTACAACAGCTTTGAACGTGGCTCAGCCAATCAGAATCAAGCACCGGAACTCTCCGTTTTATAATAATGTTTTTTGTGTGTGTTTCAGGAGCGTGTGCGTTTGTGCTATAAGCTGCCATATCTTCTGGGGCTTCTAAAGCTATTATCATTGGACCTATTCAAACCAGAAAATGGACCGTTCGACCACCAAATCCAGCAGTGTCCGCCATAATATCGAAGTGCGCATCATTGATCGTTGTTCTCGCTAAAATATTTCTCATAACATGAGATCTGCAGTTTAGTTTAAAGATGAATTAGGCCTACTGTGCACTTATAGCACTCCTGTCATCACCTCCCATCTTTAAAACATAGCATGCCACAGGAAAATTATGTTTATTGTTAATAACATTGTAATTATGTTGTTTGTAAAATTATGTAATTTCAGTGTTTATCTCCATTAATGCGAGTGGAGTATTTAATGTAAATGTGTATATCGACATGAAAACAGAGTTTAAAATCGTTGTTTACTTCATTACTTTATTTTTTATAAATCACGATATGTGCGTGGAAAATTACGTACGCATATTTCTATTCCCATTTTGTGCGTACGCAATGTTTATAAATGAGACCCCAGATCAGCTAGTTTGGCGTAATCCTACATTAGTACTATTTAATAGTAAATAAAAGTAAATGGAGCACCATTGTTCTGAATATTATAATTAATTTGGGGAATCATGTGAGTCAAGTCAAATTCCTGAAGTGTCAAGGTGGTGTAACCACCATTCAAGGAGCCATTTTGTTAATATTTTGCAAGAAGATCATGTGACAGGAAATTATATCACAGAGAAGGACCTCTGGTGATACTAACTGCTGCATGCAAAGGTTAGTAGCTCTCTTTAAAATGTGAGATAATTTGACATTTTTAGGGTATGGTCAGGTATTCTTAGGTATACATGTCAAATGGTATGATCTCAGAAATACATTGATAATTCATCATTATTATGAAAATGAGTATTAACTTTAAAAATGACATTTGAAATATTCCCACCAAGGCCATGTAATTACATCGGTGTCCATGATAATGCATGTCAAATTTGATTTTAAATTGAAATGTCAAGTGGTGTAACCAGTTACACCATTTGACTCCTATTACAAGCCTTTCTGTTCGGGGCCAATTTAGTCAAATATCACTAGTTTATGATGCTGATTAAAGATGTAATATAAACTAACCTACTATTTGAAACTATTTTCAAGTGTTAAATGTTAAAATTTTTTTGAGAAAGTGGTTCTTTATCTACAACTTTATTATTAAAGCTCTGTAAGTCTAGGATAAAAAAATTATGTTGCACAACATTAGTGTTTTTGAAATGTTTGGGCTAGCTTTAATGCATATTTCTATTCCATTCACTTAACATTTTAAAGGGATAGTTCACCCAAGAATGAAAATTACCACCTTATTTACTCACCTTCAAGCCATCCAAGGTGCATATGACTTTCTTCTTTCAGACGAATACAATCAGCATTATATAAAAAAAATGTCCTGGCTCTTCCAAGCATTCTAATGGCAGTGAATGGATGATATTCAATAGTCCAATAGAAGTCCAATAAACTGCATTTATCCATCATAAAAAGTGCTCCAGACGGCTCCGGGGGTTAATAAAGGCCTCCTGAAGCTAATCAATGTGCTTTTGTAAGCAAAATATCCATATTTAAACTTTATAAACCGTAATTTACACTGTAAAAAAAAATAAATCTGTAAAATTTACGGTAAAAAATATGGTAGCAACGTTTTAAGGTTTATGGATTTAACTTAAATTACAATTTAATTTACAATTAATACAATTAAAATTGACAATTAAAAAACGTATTTCTTTAACTGATGTAATGTTACTATACTAACCTATTGAAGTTCTGAAATCTGTTTTGATAACCATCAAAATCAGGTGGTGATGAGAAAGTCACATGATGAACCACAGTATTCTTCCACCAAACAATGTAGTTCCTCAGAAACTCAGTTGTGGTTGCAACAAAGTGGTTGCCAAGCAACAGACGAACGTAAACAAAGGTGTGTGTTTGTAGAGTAATTTACAACAGCTTTGAACGTGGCTCAGCCAATCAGAATCAAGCACCGGAACTCTCCGTTTTATAATAATGTTTTTTGTGTGTGTTTCAGGAGCGTGTGCGTTTGTGCTATAAGCTGCCATATCTTCTGGGGCTTCTAAAGCTATTATCATTGGACCTATTCAAACCAGAAAATGGACCGTTCGACCACCAAATCCAGCAGTGTCCGCCATAATATCGAAGTGCGCATCATTGATCGTTGTTCTCGCTAAAATATTTCTCATAACATGAGATCTGCAGTTTAGTTTAAAGATGAATTAGGCCTACTGTGCACTTATAGCACTCCTGTCATCACCTCCCGTCTTTAAAACATAGCATGCCACAGGAAAATTATGTTTATTGTTAATAACGTTGTAATTATGTTGTTTGTAAAATTATGTAATTTCAGTGTTTATCTCCATTAATGCGAGTGGAGTATTTAATGTAAATGTGTATATCGACATGAAAACAGAGTTTAAAATCGTTGTTTACTTCATTACTTTACTTTTTATAAATCACGATATGTGCGTGGAAAATTACGTACGCATATTTCTATGCCCATTTTGTGCGTACGCAATGTTTATAAATGAGACCCCAGATCAGCTAGTTTGGCGTAATCCTACATTAGTACCATTGTTCTGAATATTATAATTAATTTGGGGAATCATGTGAGTCAAGTCAAATTCCTGAAGTGTCAAGGTGGTGTAACCACCATTCAAGGAGCCATTTTGTTAATATTTTGCAAGAAGATCATGTGACAGGAAATTATATCACAGAGAAACCATTGTTCTGAATATTATAATTAATTTGGGGAATTATGGGAGTCAAGTCAAATTCCTTGAGTGTCAAGGTGGTGTAACCACCATTCAAGGAGCCATTTTGTTAATATTTTGCAAGAAGATCATGTGACAGGAAATTATATCACAGAGAAGGACCTCTGGTGATACTAACTGCTGCCTGCAAAGGTTAGTAACTCTATAAAATGTGAGATAATTGGACATTTTTAGGGTTTGGTCAGGTATAGGTATACATGTCAAATGGTATGACCTCGGGAATACATTGATAATTCATCATTATTATAAAAATGAGTATTAACTTTAAAAATTATATTTGAAATATTCCCACCAAGGCCATGTACTTACATAGGTGTCCATGATAATGCCTGTCAAATTTGATTTTAAATTGAAATGTCAAGTGGTGTAACCAGTTACACCATTTGACTCCTATTACAAGCCTTTCTGTTAGGGGCCAATTTAGTCAAATATCACTAGTTTATGATGCTGATTAAAGATGTAATATAAACTAACCTACTATTTGGAACTATTTTCAAGTGTTTAATGTTATATTTTTTGATAAAGTTGTGCTTTATCTACAACTTTATTATTAAAGCTATGTAAGTCTAGGATAAAATAAGTATGATGCACAACGTTAGTGTTTTTGAAATGTTTAGCTTTAATGCATATTTATATTCCATTCTCTTAAGATTTTAAAGCGATAGTTCACCCAAAAATGAAAATTACCACCTGATTTACTCATCTTAGAGTGTAGCATACTAACAAACTACTAACACACTGCTTAAAACAGTGTTGTTCAGAATGTGTAGTTTTACAAGTTTAATTAAAAACGTAAAAAAAAAAATGCTAATAAAAAATAAAACATGTTAATAAAAAAACTTAAATTGTAATTGTTCAAAAATGTGTAAGTGTTCAATAATTCAATATTGTATTTAAAAATACAGTTATTTATATTTTTATATTATGCATTAATGTTATTTAACGAACGAATCGAAATTAACATAAAATATATTTTTTTGCTGAGATTTGATACAGTGACACAATTTTGCATAATTTAGCACGCTGCCGACACACAGCCGAGTGAGCCGACACTCAGCCGCAACCGGCCCGATTCCGCTGGCTACCTGGGAAATCGACCTTACTTTAGCAACTTCCCAAGAAAATTAGTCGGCAACACTGCAGCCAATAATTAATTAATTGTTCTGAGGGAAAGCTACAACTGCTAACGTTAGCCCGTTTGCTCCCTCGTGTGGTTATACACACAAACGCAGGACGGCTCACGCTTGTACAAAACAACAACGATAGATGTTATGATATCAGTCTGACACAGACTATTTCACCTCAGTAGATGTGACAGCAGATTGTCAGCGCAAGTTAATATCAAATATTATCTGTTCCTCAGTGAAGAGCTCAGATCTGCGCCAGAAGCTAACGGTTAAGCGGGTGAGTCTCCGTTATGCAATAGCATATAATAAATAAACAATAGAGAATCTACATTGCATTTTAAGGCTAAACCCCACCGCTGCTTATTATTGCGATGTTAATTCTAACTGGAAACTGAACATTTAGGACAAGCGTGGGTTTAACAGTTAAATGAAGTTAAATGATCGTGTATTTCTCAGGCAGAGGCGTCGACCTTCATCATGGCTTGCCTCGGAGGATTGTTTTCTCTCGCAGTTTTGTTTGGCTTTGTGACCGCTGGGTTGCCCAAAAGAACAGGTAATGCATTTTTCGGCATTTAAATATGTTGGAGTCTTTTTTTTCTTCTTCTTGTGGTTGATAAACCTTCGTCTTCGTTTCTGCAGCGGCCGTTTTTGTCAGACTTTTGGCAAGTTCAGCGTATAGCCATGCATATTAATTAAGCGTAGAGCCTGACATACCAATGAAAATCTCCTAGAGCTCTTATAAAATGCTTAAATAAAATGCGCATCGTCAAGACAAGCGGTGAGAAAAGTAACAGGCACCACGTGATCAAACTCGTGCTAGGGTTGCCAAGTCCGCCTTTATCCCGCGGAATTTGGCTACTGTTGGCATATTGCTAAAATATGCATATGTACATATTATATTTGCTCTGAAATATTATCTCATATAATTCTGCCCAACTGATACATTATCATAGTGAGACCGTGTGCTATTTTGACAGTGATTTGCGGTGTCATTAAGAACTGCGCCATTTTATTTGTAATGTTGCCAAATTCAGGGCAGAGCCCTCTGAGAGCCTCAGAATTAGAAAAAAAAAAAACGTTTATTTAGCCACAGATAATTTTGTGACGGGTAGCATTCAGTTTACGGTAATGTTTAATTTCTGTACTTGCAAACGGGCTGTGTCCGAAATCGCCCCCAATACCCTCATTCACTATTCCCTACATTAGGTCACTAATTCAGTTCACTAGAAGGAGTGAATGAAAACAAGTAGTGAATTCGGACACTGAGTGCACCGGAAGGAATGCCGCTTTTGCATAGTTTGTGCTTGCTGTTTATTAATCATTTGAAACTAGCAAACTAGCAGCTCCAGTAGTAAGATTAAAGGATTTATCTTGAACTCTGTCACGGAAATTATGCAATCAAACAATTTAATAATGAATTTATACCCGTGTTGTACATTATGCTGTACGCCATGGATGAGCGCTTTGGAGCTGCGGGCGCCATCTTCTGGCGAGATGCGGGAATTCATTCGGCGCGTGACTCTCACGGTGCATTATGGGCATTCTCTAGCCGTTGAGCGTGCACCAGTTGTACACTCGTTTTTGCAGTGCATTGTGGGATTGAATGAGTGCACTCGAGAACGTCCACTATGGTTTCGGACACCACTAAAAATGGCTGTTCCCTCAAATAGTGCCCTATTTAAGGGTATAGGGGGCGATTTCGGACACAGCCAGTGACTCATTGTCGTAAAACTAAGAAAGTGATTTGGTGACATCAAGGCAAGTAATACAGGTTAACTGTTGAGGCCTGATTTTTTTGGGGGGGAAATTAAAATAAAACATTAATCGAATAAAGAATTTAACATTTAATTTAAAAATATTGACTATTGACTTTTCATAGCAGAATGTACATATTGAGGTTGACCATTTCAGGTTGTAAAAATAAATAAATAAATAAGAGACGGTTGAAATAACAGAGGATCTCATTCATCCTCCAAGGAAGCGATGTCAGCTTTGTGATTTAATTGTTATTGCATTTTGCCAGATTTAAATTTAAAGCGCAAGTAGTCACAATAACAAAGTGGACAATGATTTGAGGGACTCGAGGAAAAACCTTTATTTAATTACAGTTGTCAGTTCAGAAACATTGCAGTGTGTTGTTAGCAGAAGGAAAAGTGTAACTTGGTATTTAAATTACAAACAAAAGTGAGCAAAGAATGCTACTTTTATAATCACCGAGGCTGTCAGTCATGGATTATGAAGATGTCTACACTGCACTACACTTTACATTGTGTTTACTGGCTGTTATTCGTTACGAAAGGATTCACAGGTGAGCTCTTTTTGGGTGGATGCACTACTGACTAACTTAAACGCCTCTGATTGGTCATTGTGTTCAGCGCTCACTCTGTGATTGGCTACAGTGCTCAAAGCTGTTGAGCACGATGTAAACAGAAACCTTTGATGCTCTTTACAGAGCACTCATGGTGCGTTCAAGTCATGTCGGATAGATTGTATTTACGAGTTGAACGCACATGAACGTTAAGTCGTTATTATGAGTGGGAAACTCGAAATTTTCTTTAAGCACCGAGTTTCCGAGTTGGGGGCGTGTCAATGAGAAACATGGCGGAATCGATGGATGCAACGTCTGTAGTTGGCGGTAAATTTTTGTTTAAATTGATGGTTTAGTTGTCCTATAAACTTAAATTGGTCATGTTCTTGTTACGCAGCTGAAATCCAAGTAAAAAAATGCAGACCCTGTTGTATTTTCTTGTAATTTATTAAAAGAAGGTACACCGCCATCTTGTGCTGACTAAACTGACTTGAACGCACCTGACGTCGTAATTACGACTTGTCAACTCGTAAGTACGAACGTCCCAGGAGGACTTGAACGCAGCATCAGACACATACAGCATTTGAAAGCAGGACCTATCAGCTGTCACTATGAGTGAAATTGCCTTACTGTCTTTATAAGCTGAACTTTTAACAATCTGAATGTTTTTCCATCCTCCACATCAGATGTGAGTAGCTGTGGATTCTCGCCATGAGCACGTCTTTTCTGGTGGCCATAAGCAGAAATCATGTTTGAATGTTTCAATTGAAATATCACTTTTATCTATTTCTCACCTGCCATTCACACTGTATAAAATAATTTTCACAATTTTTCTGTGTCCCTACACACCTCAGCTCCCGTGTTCCTGGAAAAGTGGGATGCACTAAGTTTAATTTCCCGCCAGAAGAGAAGCAACGCGGATGATGAAGAGACTAAACTCCCTGCCAACCTCGAGAGGGAGTGTTTAGAGGAAGTTTGTGATTACGAAGAAGCAAGAGAAGTCTTCCAGGATAATTATCGCACAGTGAGTCTGAATCTTAACCTGAATTCACCCGTCTAAACTAGGGGTGTGTGATATTTATCGTTTGTGATGAAATTGTAATTATTGGTTGTGCAACGACGTGCAAGCTGACATTATTGAGTATGTCATTTACTTTGCACAAAGCAAGCAAAAACACCTTGATAGTGCAAATGTCTTTGATTTTATATAAATAAACAGTAAGTTAACAATTTGAGTTCCATTTTGAGACGCAATTCTGTTAATATTTTGCCAACCAAAAATGTTGTTGACAACAGCAGAAGTGGCCTGTTTACACCTGGTCACTTCATGCGTTTTTGTCTGATCGGATAGCTATCCGATCGTGAAAAGACCAGGTGTAAATGCCCTCCGAAACGCATTTAAATCTGATCGCTCAAAACACTTCAGGAGGTGGTCTGGATGAAACTGGACAAGTGTGAATGCATCTGGTTGTTGAAACCACATATGCAAATTTTACTCCTCCCAAAATATTAAAATAATAAACGTGCGAGAGCATTTTATAGGCTATATGGCATGTTATAGTCAGATATGACTGCGCTAATGCGACACGTGACGTATCGCCGCGGATGAGTAGCCGAGTATCTCTTCAGCAAGCCGACACGCAAACTGCCACAAAGGAAACTGAAAGTAAGTCGCAGACACTCAACACACAATCATCTTCATTAAAGGTAGTGAGACTAATCTATCTTTCCAGTGCTGATGTCGCGCTCTCTCCTGTTGCGGTATTTGATCTTGAAATTAGCTGAAAATGAACCAAATGCAGCACTTATCTGTTGCTTTCGTTAACGTGTACTCCGTTAAATTTGCAGATAGCACGGGAATTGAAGACCGGATTTATATCCATTTTGTGAAGACACATTTATGGGGCCAAGTGTAAATGGAAACGTTTTATCAAAGCAGATAGATATCCGATCAGAGAAAGCGCATGAAGTGACCAGGTGTAAATAGGCCCATAGTGGTGCTTCGTTACTGAATGAATCGTTTGAATGAATGATTCAATGACTCGGCTCATTAAGACACTGACTAGTTTTCTTATAAAGTATAATTTCACGTCGGCGCCCATAGCCTTGTGGTTAGTGTGTCGACATATAGCGCAACTGTGCTCACGGCGACCCGAGTTCGAATCCCGCCTCGAGGTCCTTTGCCGATCCTGCTCCCTTCTCTCCTCCCAGTGCATTCCTGTCAGCTCTCTACTGTCCTCTCACAATAAAGGCATGAAAAGATCATAAATATAGCTTAAAAAAAAAGGTATCATTTTGCGTTGTTAAAATAAATTCAGTTTAAGGATGCAAATATTGCCTTGTAGTGGAAAAGTTAATTTCTGTCACGGCTGAGAACTAACCACTGCACAGAATATGAAGATCTACCTAAACAAAATCCTAAGCCTAAGCCATCCAAGATACCAGCACAAAACACACGCTCAGTATATTTTATTATCATTATCAAAAAAAATGGAGAAGTCATTTGTGTGAATATCGCACACTTCTAGTCTACACGTTTAATATTACTACTAATATTCACAGTTGCACTCGTAATTATGTACAGACTTAAATGGATTGTGTTTTTGTTTCTTTTAAAGGACATCTTCTGGTCTGTCTACATTGGTAAGTTGTGAATGTTGCATATGCATGATGGTCATGTGAGAAAGTCAGGTGTCATCTGTCTTTCCAGATGTCTCCAGTCCTGGAGACCACCTACCAGAATGTGTTAGATGTGTTAGACTAATTAAAGCACCTGGTTCAACTCAACAGCTGTTTAGTGTGTTGAATGGACTGGAGTTGGGAAACCCTGCATTTCAGGTACCTCAATGAGATGAATATAGACAAGTGGAATCAGTTGTTCGACTTGTTGCCCTAATGCAATCAAATTGATTAAAGAAACTAAAGAAATATATGTAATACATTGGACCTATTCCATGTCCAGGTCAGCTGGTTATTAGATGAAACTAACAACAGTTAAGAAGTATGTTGGATTTCATGGGAAAGCAGTTGATTATATAGTTATATAGCGGTCATCATAAAACAGTATTGTACATGGGATTGCTACGATTGACCAATCATAATCAAGCCTTCCAGAGAATCATGTACTAATGCTCAAGATACGGTGTATTCTGATTTGATACATTTATAGACGTATAATGTTTTAAGTGTGTGACATGCGTCATCTCTGATGTTGTTTTACATGCTAGATGGTGACCAGTGTGCTGAGCAGCCATGCAAAAATGGAGCCATGTGTTCAGATAGTGTGGGGGGCTTTGACTGCATTTGTAAATCAGGCTTTTCAGGAATCCACTGTGAGACAGGTATGTAACTGAACCCTCATCTTGATTGAGCTCTTATTTAAAAAGTACACATTAAAGGGATCAAGAAACAGAAAATTAAAATGTCCAGAATTAGGCTTTCTACCCTTCTGAAACGCCAGAATTTGTAATCGCCCCAGTTGTGATTTCCCTCTACACATCCCTTAACATGTAAATCAAGGAGGTCTACCTTTAAAGGGGTCATATGATGCGATTTCAATTTTTCCTTTCTCTTTTGAGTGTTACAAGCTCTTGGTGCATAAAGAAGATCTGTAAAGTTGTAAAGACTAAAGTCTCAAATCCAAAGAAATATTCTTTATAAAAGTTAAGAGTCTACCTCGCGTACCTAAAACGGCTCGTTCTAACACGCCCCCACATGTCTACGTCCAGAT